TAGATTATAAGATAGACTTATTTATAATGTAAAGGATTTTATTTTTAAATTTAACTGATTTAAATCACAGATTTTACAATAAATTTATTTAATGAAAAGTAAAAACAAATGTACACCAAATAGTAAATAGAAGTAACTATTTAAATAATAATTTTGATTAAATTTTAATTATATAAGATAAAAATATTAACATTTTTAGCAAAGTTGGTTTTTAATCTTTTCTAATAAAATTGTTGACAATATCGCCGATAACTGACAATCAAAGTGTCATTTTTGGTGAAAACGGGTCTCTTTCGTGGTTTCATATTTGCAAAAATGGGACCATCAGCCAATATCTGTTTTAACAAATTATAAGTAAAATATATGTTTTAACTAAAGTGATCATGGTTAATCGTCTAAAGTAATACTAACAAAATAAATGTCAAAGAATGAGAATAGGCTGCCCAGCATAGCATAGAACAATCCGGATTCTCCGATAAAATAAAAGTTGATGATTGTTTGCCATGGTGATGAGCATATTGTGGATGCTAGAAAACACATTTTTGGATTGTAAGGCATTATCATAAACGTAACTGTGGGACTCGTCGTGATAAATGTATAATCAATTGAATATATTGTGAATCCAAATAATTTCACAGTCGCTATCATATCGGTCTCAATATAAGTGGTCTCCCGATTGGCCCGATGTTTAAATTCAATGGCCAACACATGAGGAATAAATGTGTCATGGACAATTGAAAAATGATGCATGTCAACTGAGTTCTCCGTTAATTGCTATGAGATTGTTTATAAAGACCATGGTTAATTAGTTATAATAATGTGCTTAACATAACATAATATTAAGATAGCAAAATAATACAGTCTTACCATAGTTGAAATAGTCGCGAAATGTGGTATACATTTAATAATTTGTGCATGCTCAATTCGACATACTGTATTTATATCCATAGGTTGATGATTAGGATGAAAATCATGTTTATCATACCATAAGTATATGAAACCATTCAATTCAATTACAGGCCATTGCTTTATATTTGCATTCAATTGTTTTAACTCTTTATCTGTAAACAAATATATATTTATATTAATTAAAACATTATTTACAAAACAAATAAACAGAACATAATATATACTCTGAATATTAGGTATGCGTTTGCACTGTCCGTCTCCGCCAAACCTCCAGCCATGGAATGGACACTGAATACAGTCGTCGCCCGACTCTGACTCAGTCACCACATGTCCGCCGACACCGAGATTTGCGCCCAAATGCGGACAATAGGCGGACAAACAGTGGACGACACCCGACGGGCCCCGGAATAGGACCCGTTGTTGACCACAAAGTTGCATCGCTTTTATACCATTTAATGGCAACTCATTTGAAGGCATAATTATATACCATGTGTTCGGATAATCTGTAGATTCATTTTCTTGTTGGTCACCATGTTTAAATAATGGCTGCAAATGAATGATATTTTAATTTTACTTAATTAAACCATAATATTTGAACTTATTTATTGTTAATTATTAAAAGCGTTTTAATCATAATTTTAAAAAATATTTTCTTACCTTTAGACATTTTTCAATATCATTTGTTTTTAGGAAACGAAATAATTTTAATATATAAATCGGTATATAATATAAATATTGAAACAAATTATAAGCCATTATTATATTTAATAATTAGATTATAAAACAGAATTCAACCATATTGCCATAATCATCAAACATTTAAAAATATTATAACATAACATATGGCTAAAAATGGGACGATACTAATTATAATAATAAAGTAGGTTTTATATGTCTATTGAATTGCATAGAGCGGGCAGACATGATCAATTACTACATCAATGGGTAATTGCTAAACATTAAAAAATCAAGCAAGTAAATTTTGCATAATTAAACTGAATAAATAATATTAAGTTAATTATATATTTTACGTAAAATTTATTACTCCAATTGTATTATTCGATATTAAAAATAAAAAATTAAATAAATAAATATTCCCACAAACATAAATTGTTATTATTTTATTGTTAATTAACTTAATTAAAATATTATTAGATATTCAATGTTTAGTGTTTTTTTAAGAAATACAAAACTGAATTTAAATATTAAAACAATTTACTGACAAATGCTTGTTGTCGTCCAAGAGTTGTCGGTTCAGTTGATCCCATTTTGGACACCAAATCACTCCATCCTTCACTTCGTAGGCGTAAATCACTTCAATGCCTGAATACTCGCCGTAAGTCATGTCTAAGCGTCGGGAGAAATCGGGCTAAAAATGTTTCAATTGTTGCATTTTTTGAATAAAACAAGATTAGTGTTGGACAAATACATAACAATTTTATTCAATTAACAATTAACATTTAAATTTAAAAATTCTATAAAAGCATAGCAAAATAAAAAACTATTCGTCACTTAATAATTTAGAGTTAAAGCAAAATATAAAATAATGTTTTAAGTTATTTTCGGTAAAACTTAAACGTTGTTCACTTAAAATCCGTTTATATGTTGAAAAGCTTCGCTCAACTATTGCTGAAGTAATCGGTGCTCTTTTGAATAAATCAATTTCATCTTTCGATAGCAATATATTTGTATTATTTTGAAGCGAATGTCAATAGCGAACGCATATCAATTCAATGCATTCAATATGTCTCGTAATTTATCAAATCCGGTGTTTTTTGTTAAAACATCATCTAATTTCTCAAAAATATTTCCATCAAATTGTTCAACGCTTTTCAGTTCAATATATACATTATCTACGAGACTAATGCTGTCTATTAAAAGCATTTCGTTTTGTTCCAACGTTTTTATAGCAAATACAAGACAATTAAAATTACTTGAAATAAAGTTTAAATCTGATTTTAAATCACTATTTTTGACCAATTCTTGTAATTCTTTAATGTATTTGCTGTCAGAGTCTTCTATATTTGTAATTATTTTGCAAAATATGTCGTAATATTTTATATAATATTCAATAGCACTTAACCATTGACCCCATCTGGTCTTAACAAGAGCTGGTGGGAAGGGAACATTGTTATCTCTAAATAACACTCGTCTATTTTCGCACTTATTTACTATTAATTTGCCACAAGCAATAAGTCTATCAACGTTGTGATACTTTTTTGCAATAAATTGACAAACGTTGTGAAGGCCGTGTGCTAGGCATGTAACATGTATTAATTTGGGAAATTTATTACCAAGTGTTTCACCGGCTGTCTTCATATACAAAGCCGCGTCTGTTATTAATAATAATAATTTGTCGTATTTTATCCCAGTTTGCCATAATATATTTAATGAATTGATGACACACTGAATAACTGTTGTATTGTTCACTTGTTTATAATATTCGACATTTAATAAAAATATTTTCATACATTTATTAGGATTTAGAGCTCCGATAATTACAGAAAATACGTGTCGTTGTAAAACATCAGTCGTTTCATCGATTGATAACCATATATAGTCATCAATTAATTCGTTTCTTATGGTTTCAATTGTTTTATCAAAAAGTTGTGGCAAATATTTTTTTCGTAAATTAGTTTCACTAGGAGTCATATAATTAGTCCACTTTTGAACAAACCGTTTAAATATATCGGAATTTATTGTATTAAATGGTATATTTAGAGAGACGAGAACTTCACATAAATCACTATTAAATTCTTCTTGAGATGACAATAAATTGTTATTTTTTACCATTTGTTTTGTATGAATATCAGAATCGCAATGATGTTGAAGATATGATTTGTCACGACATTTGATGTCCTTATGGCAAACGGTGCAAAAGAGACTGTCATTTATCATTGACTTATCATTAATAACAAAAATAGACTTAAAATCAGATACATATTCATTTAACTTATTTGAATTATCTTTAATTTTTGGCATTTTTGGTCATTTAGTGAATGTGTACACAAGAAAACAATTTATTCATTCGAATACTATCTTAAAATTGGGATTTTATTGTTAAGTATTTGCCCAACACTAGTCTCGCGTTTTTCAAAAAATACAACAATTAAAATATTTTTAGCCCGATTTCTCCCGACGCTTAGTCATGTCCAACAGTGTATTTATGTATACCATTAGCGCCGGTGTCTGCAACTCCGGATCAAATTCGGTGACTATAGTGGCGGACAGGGACTGACACTCGGCCTCCAAGTCCTTAATGAGCTGAAACTGCGCGTTGAGTGCCGTCTGAAGACTGCATTTCTCGGTCCAGGCGTAGGACATGACACCTGAGGTGAGGTCATTGGCGGCCATTTTGGTCATAAATATCAAATAATCGTCGATTGCGAGCAACAATCGTGTGGTTGACGTCCGGAAAGTATCCATTTGTATGGACCGGAACACCGATTCCGGGGGCGTATACTCCGCACAGACCTCCACAAGTAATCCAAACAATAGCCACCCTTTATATCACAATTAGTAACAAAATATTTATTACAATTAATTATTAAACAAAATAAAGTATTTAACGAAATAGGCTTTGAAAATACTAATTGAAAATTAGTTAAATTAATGCAAATCAATACCCGATTCTTTGCTCCTGAGTTCGTAGTACTTATCGTATGGTATGAACCGATTCTTGAGATAATAATTACAATGTATTTCCCGATAGCTTTCTAACCATACTTTCAAACTGTTCCTGAAGTCTGTCATCTGATCTCTGGTCATAAACACGTCTATCGCTTCCAACGTATCCAACAATCGGCGGCCTATTGTTATAACCATGTGTTATATTGTATCAAATTATTAATGTGTAACATAAGAATAGAACTTAATTGCAAAAGGTAAAAATTATAGCAAACTTTTAATTGACATAGTTGCTCTAAATTATTCACTATAATATTTAATTATAATTAATTTACAATGCAATGAATAAATTTAATTCATTTTGACAAATTTACTTGTTTATCATCTACCATATAATTTTAAATTACATTTAAATTATTGTGGCTAACTTAATACTAACCTAAAACAAACAGCCAATCAGTGCTATGTCCGGTCAATACTATGGTCAACAGTTTGTCCATCAGGTCTACCATCAGAGGCGCCGACCGTTCCCTACGAGCCCTTTCCCCGTATTGATCGACACTTAACGTCAAACCAATACATTTACTCACAGCTAACAACCGGTCTCTCTGTCGGCAACCGCTATACATATAACTCGTGATAATAGCACTCATTTCAATCATCTTCTCGTTGTGGTCGACGAACCCTTTGGACCATTGGGTCAACTCTTGTGACACCCATTCGTGGTGTGGATTGGGATTCACTTTTCGGTCAAACACTGGTCTGATCTTCAGTGACCCAAACTCTGACCTATTCTTCAGCAGCGATAGTGTTGTCATTATCTGTTCATTTTGTTTCACTCTTTTCATTATTTTAATAGCAGTTCTTATGTATGATTATATTAATTAGATTATACACGTAATAATTCTATGTTAATTAAATTTTACTACACATATGGATCGTTATCTTTATGAAATGTTATATTTTCTAATTATTTTCTAATCTAAATATATTAAATGCAGTATTATGATTAAAATGTTTATGTTTTCATTGAAATTATCATATTATTTTTCAACACTTCGGGTATTCGTAAAATAATTAAAATAAATTTTATTAATCATATTATTCATCGCAACAGTAACTTCTGGTTTATAGATTAGGCACAGATTTTGCCTTAACTATACTTATCTTAATTCCTACTAATTAGGCAATATGTAATGTTAGACACTTTCACAAAAATTCTTATTTTTCCAATTTTTTTCCTCACAAAAATTAGGAATTTCCCGGAAGATAGAAACGGTGTGGGAACTAACTTTCTCGACGGAAAATATTTTTTATTTGTTATATTTGTTGTTTGCTCATTAAATTGTGGTCGAAAACACAAAAGACTAGTTTTTATTCATAAAATTTAAGGCAATTCATTTTTAATTATAATCATCATTTATTTGTGTAAATCATTATGATAATTATTATCATAGCTCTTATTTAATAGATTATTTTAAACATTTATTTGTTATTTTAAATTAGAATAAACAACAACTTTTTTGAATACTGCAGTAAAGTTGAAATTAATTAATATTGATAGTAATATCGGCGCAAAACACCTCGGTTGCGCCGGCATCGCATACCAACTTTCAACGAGTTTATTATAAACTTTAGTTTGCACGGAGTTTATAGTGAGACATAAACATTTTAAATGTACTTATAATTTTTTAATTATATTAGAAAGTTTCTATTCTAATAGAAACTAAACCGATTTTACAATTTGTTTTTAAACTCTAATTTAAATAATAAATGGATTTTAATTTCACGCTATCTTTAATTTTATAAACAATATTCTAATGATTAAAATTAGTATTGAAAGTATAAATCTAATGTAAAATATAAAACCATTTAATAATAGATTACAATACAAGTGATGGAAACAATTGTTGGTAACTTAAAAACAGAGATTTATTTTTAAAATTATAATCCGTTACTAAATTTACTCATTTATTTTAAAAATAAAATGACTTAAAAATTATTAATTTTTAAATTTAAATTATTATAACATTTCTAATCACAAAATCACTAATAATATCAACCGTTATAAAACTTTTACAATGTTTTTCAATAGGTTTTACATTTACATAATAAGCATAACTCTAACACAACAGCAAAACGATAACATTAAATGCGGTTTAAGTAAATCAATGGCAATACAAAACAATGAATGCAAAAGTATTGTAAACTATGGAGACAGGGATCAGATAAGTGATCGGATTGTGGGAGGAATGGACGCCTCCATAGCAGAGATACCATGGATGGCATCGCTTACCGTCAAGAATAAGGGATATTGCGGGGCGACTATCATCGATGAGCGATGGATATTAACGGCCGCTCATTGTCTATACCCGTATGTTATAACTAGTTTTCAGTTTATCATTAAAATAATTTAATTGTAGTTTTGATTAAAATAAAAATTCAACAGAAATGTGAATAAAAACGATATAATAGTGAGAATTGGTTCAAATAATAAGCTCAGTGGCAGACCATTGGCGGTAAAGGAGGCGCACATTAACCCAAAATTTATAACAAACGGTTATTTAATTAATGACATCGCGTTAATTGAATTAACAACTAGTATCAAATACGACATGTCATACGCTAATCAAGTTTGTCTACCGATTAACGCCACACTCAATGACAGCCATACGATGCTAACCATGTTTAGCGGTTGGGGACAAATAAGTACCGATGGTAAACAGCCGACGAATACCCTGATGAAAACAGTCTATGACACAATTCCTAGTCATTTATGTAGAAGCAAGTATTATATATGCGTTAATGCCAGTCAAAGTATGGGGTGTTTCGTAAGTTTAACTCTGGATTCGATTAAGTGATAGTAAAATAATTAAATAAATTATGGTAATAATATATTAGGGGGATTCAGGCAGTCCTCTCGTGGTATACCAGGGATGTAATGCTGTGCTAATGGGTGTCTATTCATACGGCCAAAGCCACAGCACTGGCCATATATGTGGTCCTAAACTCATGATTTTCGTTAGAGTAGCCAAACATATGCCATGGATTCAGCAATTGATTGGTATTTGTTATTATATAATATGCTATTATTAATAGCAATTGTGTTATAATTAATTGTGAATTAATAGATAATAAACAGCAGTCGTCGGGAAGTGAGGGCACAGTTAGCGTCGATATGTTGTTTATAATGAGATCTCAAACTTATATTTATGGCAAACAAATGGCGAGAATATATTTTTATATATTCATTATTTTGAATTACATTCACAATCGTTGGCTATATTTTTAATTATGTTCACATTTATTACATTTTAAGATATTTTATACATTTGTTATAAATATATGCCATGTTTATTTAACCGACTCATTTTTACTAAAAAGTAATAAAATTCATTAATATTTTGAATATAATTTGTGCATGCTACATGTAACGCACATTTAATTATGATAAACTATTATGATATGTGTTAGGAATAATGAATTATGTAATCTTCAATAAAATATTGTTTTCAAAAATTACAATCAATCACTTCTATTATAAATGTAATATTAGGATAATGTAATTGCAGTTAATAATAAATACCTTGATTGAATTCGTCGCATTTAATGCTTATAGTAAATGTTGTGCCGGCATTAACAATGACTGGTCATTTACATAATAAATTCTCTACCAGTAATAGTTAATGCGTGCACCAAATTCTAGTATCTATGGCCATATTTATACCTAGAATATTTGCTTATAATTAATCTACTTAAAACACGATTATGATTACCATAATAATTTGACGCATCAATAATTCCTATGCCCTCATAATATACAGTAGGAATTAGAGATGCGTCAGATTCTAGGACTGGTCATTCATATGCATCATGTAATATGTTTATTAATAAGTGTCTGTTAATTGGGATATTATGGTAAATGACAATTCATAACATAGTTAGGGAAACAATAGCTCACCTGTTAGAACTCCACTCCACCTAGACTGAAAAAAGTTTAGCAGTGATCGAGTTATTATAAAGTATAAACCAAAAACCTTTAAAATTCTCTCTCTCTCACTCTCTCTCTCTCTCTCTCTCACTCTCTCAAAACCGACTGCCATTGTCTTCGCCAACAGATAATCACTCGCGAGTCAATACAATTAACACTCAATTAGTGTTTTGTTTACCAAAAGATGTCTTGTTTTTCACTAATGTTTTGTCAATTCACCCAAAATTGCTTTCAAAACGCTTTGCATATAAATAACGTTTACTTTAATCAACCGTTTGTTTCATTGATTTGAATGTGTTTTCAATTACTTTTGTTGCGTTCAATGAGTTGTCATTAATGAATGCAAACAATGCATTGCATCACTCATTCAAACGGCGCTATTTTGGGTCCTTTTAATTGCCAAACATTATTGAGTTATACTTATAAAAAGGCATTTTTATTATCCATTAATAAAACCCATTTACACTTAAAGCGCAAGTTTTAAAATTTTAATGATTACTGATTTACAAAATGTTTTACAATTATTTAAATGTCTCAAAACCAGACAAATAGTCAAAACAGTGATAATACCGAAAAGAATGAGACACCGGTGGCCACACCAGCGATTGATAGACAACTAATACTACTTACGCACCCATCAAAGAGGTCATCAAATGTCACGCCATAAAAGAGATCAAGTCTTTGCATCCAAGAGTAAGCCATTGAGGCTTCACTTCAATGACAGCACAAATTCAGTCAAATAAAGTAATTTAATTCACTTTTATTATGTAATTAACAAATTACAGTCTGCACCGCATTTAACAGAAGCACTCGGTGAGTTTAATTCTGTTCTGTTATAGCCGGTTTTCTGTTATTCCCGGTAATAGACTTAGACTTAGGAGCTGTCGGTGCAGCAACTCTCTCTCTCTCTCTCTCTCTCTCTCTCATCTACTGTCTCTTCCCTAAGCAACGCATGTGTAAAATAAAAAAGCATTATGGTAAAGGGTTTACTTAAATAGACATAGATGTTTTTATTGCACAGTGTACTCGTGCCTGTATGCGATTGTGATGTAAAGTGTACACACAATATGATAAAATACATAATAATAAATACATTATAGCATAAAAACTTGTTTGCTTTCACTTCAGGTGTTGAGTGTTAGTGAAAGCGAAAGAAACTAGTTTTAAAACATAAATGTAAATTTAAAAAGTGATTTAAATAGTTATGATAAATATATTTTTTTGTCCACGATGAAATATATTCTTCTAAACTTTTGTGTGCGTGAAATATATACAGTCTGCACCGCATTTAACAGAAGCACTCGGTGAGTTTAATTCTGTTCTGTTATAGCCGGTTTTCTGTTATTCCCGGTAATAGACTTAGACTTAGGAGCTGTCGGTGCAGCAAAAATATTAGGTTATATGCGGTTTTCCGTTATATGTGGGACCGATAAATGCGGTGCAGACTGTATATACAATTGATTATATATTGACAACAATTATAGTTTAAAATATATTAATATAAATACGGAATAATATTTGAAATATTATAAAATAGAGGACAAGTGATGTCTTTAATTGTCAATATCGACGACCATTAGTTGTCCGCCGCGTGACTCGCGTCGCGACGGTCTCGAAGAGGTGGACGCGTGTCCGGCAGCGGTCGCGTCATCAGTAGTATCAGTGGTGCCAAAGCCAGCGAATCGGAGCCGTAACTCATATAGCCGGTTTTCTGTTATTCCCGGTAATAGACTTAGACTTAGGAGCTGTCGGTGCAGCAAAAATATTCGGTTATATGCGGTTTTCCGTTATATGTGGGACCGATAAATGCGGTGCAGACTGTATATATAAAAGTTAATAAATATATATTTAATATAAGTTATTACCTTATTTTTGCAGTCATTATCATTACAACTCGATGATATAACTACTTCATATTTGCCGATACCTGGCTGTTGTTAACCATTCATATTAAATACCTGCATATAAAATATAATATGTAAATATACACAAAAGTGTCATAACTCCGTGTGTGATATATAAGCCGATTGTGATTCTTGTATTTCAATTGAAAAGAAATATTATATACAGTGAGACATACAGTGTATGTGTATATGAATGACATATTTTGTGTGTAAATATTCTGTGTGTTGACCGCAGTATTGACTATTGAAGAATATTCTGTTGATAATAATAATAAGCATTAATTAAATATATTTACAAACAATTAAAAACAAAAAACTTACCATGGTGATCAGAAGCAACCCGGACAAGGTGCCAGACAATATCACCGGCTATACCAATAGCAACCCGAACGGCACCGTACATCTCAACCATCATAATAATAATCATAATAATAACATTAATACAATTAACAACAACAACAATAACGCCAACTATCGCAGCAATTATCTGGCCGTAAACGATGGTCAGGTGCCGCCCAGCCCTCACCTCAGCATAAACCGTATGGCCTATAGTTTGCCCAACTTTAACGCCCGGTTCCGCCGGTCGTCGCAAATACCCGGCGCCCGACCCAAGAGTATGACCTCCGAGAAAGTGTTGGAAAAAGTGCGGCCCGAGTGTCGTTCCCCTTGGGAAGTGATCAAGGGCCTTTTCCCGGCGATCGGCTGGCTGGGCAAGTATAAAAAAGAGGACCTGATCCCGGACTTGGTGTCAGGCGCCACGATTGCCGTGTTTCAAGTGCCAGAGAGTATGTGTTTTTTGTTGTTTTGAGCTTGGTTGTTATTTTATTTTATTTTTCTTTGCGTGGTGTGTAAATGAATATTTTTTTCTGATTGGTTATTTTTTTTAAATTTTAATTATCTAAGTTAATTAAGTGTTTATTATTGTAAAAGCAAGAAGTTTTATTTTTATAGTCTATCATTTGTTATTTTTGCTTAATTTCTTGATTATAGAAAGTGTTTAGAATATTTTAATTATAAATAATTAATGGGATTTATAATTAACTAATTAATAGTTAGAAGTATTATTTGTAAAACAAATGTCTTCACAGTATTGGGTATAATGAGGAAAAGTTAATGATATTTCATACTGAGAATCGGTGGCAATAATACTGTGAATCACACTTTAATATAAAGTATTGATTAATTTTTGGGTACTGTATGTTAGCCACTATATAGAACTTCCGACTAAAGTTTCATTGTTATATAATGTGTAGTTTTTTTGTAACAAATTATTTCTTAGTATAAGTAAAATATATTCGCAGTATTTCCCAATTATTGCCAAAACTTGTAGTAATTTTACATTTTTAATCTAATTAAAAATTTAATAAACAGATGTGGATATTTAAATAAATAAACTTAATGTTAGTACATTTTGAGGTATATAAATTGACATTGATTGTAAAATTTATCCGGATCTAAATTTTTACAATCGCAATATTATATAAATAATACTATTTTATAAATACAATTATATAATGCATTTATGTTGACTTAAAACGTGATTTTTTGTACAATATTTATATATAATACAAATCGGAGACTAATATTTACATTAATTATAAGGCAATTAGGTTTTGTGAAAATTTTCTTTTTGAAAATGACAAAAAATTTTATGTAAATATTTATACAATATTTTTTGAAGATTTATTAATAATATAAATAGTGAAAAAAGTTATCAAAAATCCAATTATAAACATTAATGTAATACAAACAATGTAGAGATAGATGTCTACCGACATGTATTGTTGTGGTATTTACATTGTGATAGAAATTATACCATGATATGTACTCAATACCATGTTTTACAATATACATGTATCATATTAGGCACCGATCTGTACCATTCATGCAAATGCGTTAACAATAGTATTGAAACAACCAATTATGACCATCATAATTAATAATTAACCTAGCTAATATTTTATTTAATTATTATATAGGTATGGGTTATAGCCTGTTGGCCAACGTTAAACCAGTCTATTGTCTATATTCATCATTTTTCCCAATAATAATCTATTCATTGATGGGTACTTCCAGGCATTGTTCAGTAGGTAAGTGCACTTT